GGGGGAGGGGGAGGTTAGAGAACAACCAAATGACTTGTATGCATGCGTATTAGCATAACCAATGGACACAGACACTGGGGCGGTGGGGGCTTGCTCTCGGGGGTGGCGATGGCTGGGAGGGGTGGTCAATTGGAGAAAAAGGACTTATGTAAAACTTTAGACAATTAAAAAAAAGATTAAAAAAATAAAAAGAGCTATTGTGTGTCAATGTTGGTGGTTTATAATTTACTTAAAACACTGCAGCATACACAGTGGGATAAATGAGTTATCTTCTAGGAATGTTTGATCAACTATCCGAATTAGAAATAAGTACCCTCAGAGCAGTCATCTAACATTTCATCAAAAGTTCACAGCTCCTATGATCACTTCGATCCTCTTCAAGTCCCCATGTCCCCACCTCAGCCCTCAGAGTCCCTGGGAAGCTTTACAACTACTGACCTAAGGCCAGGGCCCCCAGAAATTCAGTTTTAATGGCTTTGCTGTGGGCCCAGTTTTATTACTATATGTAAAATAATATATGTAATATATAAATACTTATATAAATATATAAAATACATAAAACATATTTTATATACCTAGTTTTTAATTTTTTATTATGGAGCATTTTAAATGCATACAAAATTAGAAAGATGAAACTTCAGGTACCCGTCATCCACCTTCAACAATGATCAGTTCTCACGGCTGTCTTGTTTTGTCTATGGTGTTTGGCAGTGGTATTTTTTAAAAATTTCCCAGGTAATTTTAGCATGCAGGCAGGCTTGAGACTCACTGCTCGAAAGAAATAGTTACAGTGGGATCACTGCAAACACAGAGGTATGTACCTAACCTGGTGGAAGCAGAGAGAGGGAATGACAAACTCTGACCACGGAGGGAAAAGGGGAGGATTTCCTGGATCCCATGCCAGAAGCTGGAATCATGTACGGGGAGGGGACGGCGGGGGGAGGGAAAGGCCTTCTTAAATATATATATATGCACACATATTGTGGAACCTCAGTTCTCAAACTTAATTCGTTCAGAAGGCTGTTTTAGAAGCGATTTGTCAAAAAACGGAATCATTTTTTCCCATTAGAAATAATGTAAATTGTGAGTGTGAGAACAAGGGAAAAAAGGGGGGTGGGGGAGGGCTTTCTTTTTCTTTGCTGTGGCCTTTCACAATTTATGAGAAGTTCCTGGTAAGTAAACCCCAAGATTGTTAGCAACTCTGGCTCAAACAGCTCTTCTATTCGAACTGCAAGACAAGATGAGTTACTCTCAAGGCTAAGCTCTTGCATACCCTATCTCCTTTCGGATTTAATATTCTGGTTAGTAGAAGGGCTCTATTCCCTCCCTTTCAAACCCACCCAGCCCTCCCTTTTTTGAGCCCTTTGTAACTTTCACTGTAAGAATGTTTTACAGGCTTGTAAAAATGTTGATAAAGACACCTCCCTAGGACATCTGCCCAGACTAAAAACAGCAAACTTTTCTAGGACAAGCACTCTGATGTCTGCTCAGTTTCAACCCCCAAGTCCCCTCCCTTCTAGCAACAGCAGCCATTACCCTTTAAAAGACAGGGCCAAAGTTTATTTCTTTGCCTTTGCGGTGATTAGAATGCACCACCCTTTCCCTTCAGAGAAAGTAAAATAAAATTCCTCTCTGCATTTATCTCTTCTTTTAGTTGTGAATTCTTTCACAGCCTGCGTCACCAGCCCAAAGACCTGATATACATTTAATTAATTTGTTCCAGACTTCCAAATGATTCCATTGTAACCTTTCTTATATACAGTACATGCCGAATGTACTGTTTAATCTACTGTGTTGTTTTTTTGTTGTTGTTGTTTGTTTTCTTGAATTTATTGAACCACCCCTTATTACAGTGATGGCGAACCAGAGGTGACACGCGAACTCATTTTTTTGGTTGATTTTTCTTTGTTAAATGGCATTTAAATATATAAAAAAAATATCAAAAATGTCTTTGTTTTACTATGGTTGCAAATATCAAAAAATTTCTATATGTGACACGGCACCAGAGTTAAGCTAGGGTTTTTCAAAATGCTGACACGCCGAGCTCAAAAGGTTTGCCGTCACTACCTTATTAGCTTTAAATGAATCACGTTCAGCACTCAGTCCAGGGCTCTCTTTCAGGAGGTCAGGTGTGGCATCTTTGCTTTTTCACATATCATTGCCTCTGAAAGACTAACTACTTTCCATTTGTCTAAATCAAGAAAAGTTTTTCTAGTTCTTCAATTTCCTGTGATCATTGTTTCCTTCACAGCCGTAGCCACATTAGCACTCTTGATGGCCTGTTTATGTTTTAAAATTGTGCTGATCATCCATTTTGCCAGCAACAAAGGCAAAGAAAAAAAAATCACCAAAATATCCTCAGCACAATTTCCTAAGACGTTAACAACAGTGAGGTTTAGTGGTAAACTGACTCCCATTCTCTCCCATGTTTGTGGCCTGAGAGCTGCCTTTTGTCATGCCGACTGTATTTATTTAGTTGCATTAAAGTGGGGTTTACTAGGTTAGATTAAGTGACAGTATAAGTGCGCGGGTTTTTAAAAAAATATGTTTATGTTTGTGATGAAGATAATACAGATGTTAACATAATTTAGAAACTATGGGAGGGGGAAAGGAGAAGAAAAATAGGAGGTACATGATGAAGAATAATAAGGAATCCGTTACAAGAAACAAAATTCAGGGTAAAGAGGAGAAACCGAATTGGAGAAAGGTGGAGTGGCCAGTGCTGTCCTCTCAGACACGTTAGGGAAGAGCAGGGTGGGAAGGCCCAGCTGCCCACGGGCAAGGGTTGGTACCGGGAACATCCGGCCTGAGCTCTGCGGCAGGACCTGGAGAACCCAGA